GGTGCCCGGTGCCGGCTAGGCTGGCCCAGGCAGAGCCGCGCCGGGAAGGACAGGGACGCAGCACCCGAAGTGCTGGCTGCTGCGGCTGTGCGAGGCAGCTTGTGGCCACGGCCAGCCGTGCCTGGCCAGTCCCACCTTCCCGGAGCCACATCCATCTGTGAGCAACCCCACGCAGGCAGGTGTCTGGGCCTTTTCTCTGGGTGCGGTCTGTTCTGAGGTTTTACACCAGCAGAAAAGTGCATGTGTGCAATGAGGACATGGTGCGTGGTACCTGAGCCCTGGGCTGGGTGAAGGCATTCAAGGCTCTGTACTTCCCGTGTGGCCGGGAGCTCGGAGGTGGAGGCAGGGACATACCCAAAGGTAGTGGGATCTGGGTCCCTCCTGCCCATGCCTGCCCACCATGTGAATCGGGGTCAAAACAAGAGAAAAAGATGCAAGAAGACCGGAGAAAAGCTGGTGGTGTAAATACCAGGGCAACTACCAATGAAAGGAACTGGAGGAAGGAGAGGGGGCGGGGTTGGGCGGAAGGGGATGTAGGGACAGGGAAAGAACTGAGAGGAAGCACCCGGATGTCCACGCGATGCAGCCAGCTCGGCCCAAACGAGGCCAGAGAGAACGGGAGGGAAAGGGTAAGGAAGAGGTGCAGGAAGGAAAGCAGAGAAGACTGGAAGAGGAGAAAGGTGACCCAAGAAGGAAGGAGGGGACAAGGCAGTGGAGGGAGCACCATCTGCTCCCGAGGGCACCGGGCCCGGGCTCTGCAGTTGCTCTCACCTCAGCCATGTCCGTGAGCGACAGCTGGTGGGGCAGGACCCTCCCCCAGGGCGGCCGGCCCTCCGGTCACCCTCTGCCACAGGCTGGCAGCCACCCAGGCCCAGCTCAGGCCACATGTAGAGTGAGACAAGGACCAGTCTGAGACAGGGACCGGAAGGCCAGCATGCGCAGAGAAGGGATCTCTGTCCTCAGACAGACACGGGCTGACTACAGGGGCAGGCACCCTTGTAAAGCCCAGCAGCCACCCAGTACACAAATACGCCTACCATGTGTCCCTTCCCATGTCCCTGTGTATCCTATAGACACCCCCGTCCTGAAGACAGGAGGCGCCACTTGAACACAGCAAGGCCAGTCCAGGCTCTCGAAGTCGCAGCAGCTCTCAAGGTTCCCGGGCTTCGCTCTGCAGCTGCCCTTTCTGCCCCTGAACGTGCTGTGTGGGATCTTCTGGCCGAGCTGCCCGGGCCAAGTGGGTCAGCTCGGTGCCAGCTACCAGAACCCTGAAAGGCAAGGCCTGACCCAGGCACTGGAGTGGAACGGCGCCTCCCGCTCCTCTCTGCACGCCCGGCCCTGCCACGGTCGCCCCGCTCGGCGGGGGTGAGGGGCAGGGCGCCTCTGTGTCTGTGGCTGTGCACCTAAGGAGTGTCTCCCATCTGTGCGTCTCTAGTGTCAGCAGGCACCCAGCAAGTTCAGAGGCCAGGTGTGCTGAGCCAAGTGACAGGACTCCAGGTATGACATGGGAGCCTCGGGTGTCAAGAAAAGTCCTTCAGGGGCCCTTCCCATCCTTCACCGGCTCAAATGCCACCTCCTCCTTGAAGCCTCCCTGAGACAGCTGCGGTCCCGCAGCTCCTGGACTGAACCTAACACTTCAGTTGGCTTCTTACCAATGATTTCACTCATACACGCAACACAGATGACACAATCGCCACCCACTGCGGCAGACAGACCTCCCGATCGACGTCCGGGCCTTTGCAAGAGCCCCTCACTCTGAGTGTGGGAAGGGCCTATGACTCTCTGGAGCTCTTGGAGCATTTTAAACCCCCTCCTTCTCCAAAATCTGCGAGAATTTTCATCCTGATGAACAATTCCCAGCCCCATCACTCGGGGCTATGGGCAAAAGGGACATCGCTAGGTAACAGCACATCATCATCGCGTGTGAAGCCTGGGGAGTGGCAGGCGGAAGGCAAGGGCTTCCCCAGCCCCTCCGCGCACCACACAGCCAGGGACAGCAGGGGGCGCACTTCTCCCAAACCAGCGTTCTCTGGAGACAAGCTCTGGCCTGGCCTACCAACCTCAATCCCTAGCACGTTAGGACAACCATCCATGTACATTGGTGAACGAATAAAGGACTGATGCCCTGGCCGGTGTGCCTCAGTTGGTGGAGTGTTGTCCCACAACCAAAAGGTTGCAGGTTTGAGTCCCACTCAGGGCACATACTTAGGTTGCGGGTTCGATCCCGAGTCGGGGAAGGTAACTGATTGATGCTTCTCTCTTGCATCAATGTTTCTCTTTCTTCCTTCCTCTCTCCCTAAAATCAATTTTAAAAAATATCCTCGGGTGAGAAATAAAATAAAATAAAATAAAATATAAAGTAAAGTAAAATAAAATAAAAATAAAAATAAAACACTGATGAAATAACACACAAACCAGAAAGAGTTTTTCCGGGAACCAGGGGACTGAGGGTGTTGGCCTTCAGGTGACACAGGACGGAGCTAGAAGCAGCCAGGCTGCTCTGTGGATAGGAGCACAACTTGGGAACCCAGGATGTGGTTGCCGTCCTGCACAGGGAGCCTTCAGCTGGTGTGTTGGCACAGGTTAGAAATCACCTTTGGAACAAGGTGAACCTAGCGCGGAGCAGGTTCTCTGTGGCAGGCAGCCCAGGAGCCGGGTTCTCCACACAGAATGGGATTCGAACCCGTTCCTGGAGCGTGAGGGGCGGCCCTGCCTGCAGCCTCCCCGTCGCCCCGGCCTCCGAGTCCACCCAGTAGGGGACAAAGCCTGTCACCCCATAGTGGGAAACGCAGCATTGAAGAAGCCTATCCTTGGGAGAGGAGACAAGGTCTCGCTAAGTTCCAAGGGCTAGAGTGTCCTCCCCTGTCTCGGCTTTTCTGGAAGGGCCAGGACCTGGGGTGGGAAAGAGACTTGGGAGGGAGGGGTCAGTGGTGGGAGGCAGCCAAGACACAGAAGGACAGGACAACTTTCCTGCCTCCTGGCTTGGGACTGGAGGCCTCCTCCCCTGCAGCGTTGGGGACAGAAGCAGAGGTCGTGGCTGCTCTCAGCTAGTACCAACACTCCCGCTAACTAGAGAGAAAACAAAGGTTCCTCCATCCTTCCGACCAGCTCCTCTCAGCAAAAGAAACGAAACGGCCCACTTACTTTTATCGCTCACAGATTCCCTGGGAAATGGGCCATTAGTTCCCCTAACATGGAGATAATGAGCTCATGCCCCTCGCAAACAGCGCAGCCCCAGCGCCAGGCACGCGGAGCCAGCAGGGGGCCTCGTCTGCCCAGGACACAGGGCCCGGGAGCAGGCGCGGGACCAGGGCCTGTGGGGGAGCCCAGGGGCAGGCTGGGGCTTCCAAAGCCCCAACCTGCACGCGCTGGCGGCAGCCACCCAGGACCAAGGCCTTTGTGCCCCAGGAAAGGCCATTTCTGTCCCCGAAGGCCCCGACTGTCCTCTCCTTTTGGCTTATGGGAACAGGAGATAGTCCTTAGGTGCATGAAGGTGTCTCTTGCTCTGGGCGGGGGGAGACTGCAGAGTCAGAGGAGGGTTTCCGGGATCCCTCCCTGCCTCTGTTGCTGACCTCACCCGTGGAAGACACCATTCAGTTGTACAGTGGTCTCATCTAACCATCACCAACACCTAGGGGTGAGCAGGCCCTCTAACAGTGAGCCCGAATGGAATGAACAGGTGGGCGATGTGAGCCTCAGACCGGGGAACAAAGGCCCCGCAGCAGAGTAAGGGCGGAGCAAGGACTGGGATCCAACACCCGTCCTGCACGTCCTGCACGGGATGCTTCCTGGGACCCTGAGCCTCGCTCGTTTCTTCCCATACTGCATCTTCATCCCCTTCCCTCTGTCCCCGTCACCCGGGGTGGAGTGACCGCGGTCAAAGCACTTGGGGGAAACTTACAGGGGGTCTGGGCTCTCAGCGAACCGCCCCCACCCCACCCATACAGAGGGTGGGAGGCGCCTTAGCCTCGGCGAGGGCCACTGTCCCACGCCAAGAACAGAGAAAAGCGCCCAGCTTCCGGTCGCCGGCAGGACGGGCCCCTCCCTGCGGAGGCCAGGGTCCGGCAAGGTGGTGGCCGGCGCCTGGGCCTTGAGCCACACAGGCCGTCCTCTACTTCCGCGCTGCTGCTTTACTTGTCATCGATGCCCTGCCCCTCCATCTGGGCTGCACGCTCTGGGAGGGCAATGACCCCGGCTGCTACCATGTGGCCCCCGGGAGCCTGGGCAGCGCTGGGCAGGCACCGGGGGCTCTGTGGTAGCTGTGGATGGGCGACCCAGGACAGAGGTGGGACATGGCTCTGTTCACGCTGGACGTGGGAGTGGGGGGCTATGCCAACCGCCCTTTCTGCCCGAGTCTCAGTTTCCTGCCCTTCCTGGTCTGTATGCGTCTCCCTGGGACCTCCAGGTCTGGCACACAGTAGGTGCTGTCCTTCCACTCCTACCTCGGCTGTCCCTGAAGCTGTGCAGGCACAAGCAGGAGGGCAGCAGGGGCGGCCTGACCCAGAGGGCATGGGGCAGCTTCCAGCCATTCCCCTTCTCTTGGCCACGGGGGGCTGGGGGTCGGCTCCATGGCCCAAGGACGGCGGAGAGCGAACTCCCATGACCTATCTGTTCCAAAGGAGAGGGAGGGTCTGTCTGGATCCCTAGAGCTTTGCTAACAGGCTGCTAAGAGGGTGCTGTACACGCCTGACAAACCGCCTAGCTGGGGAGGTGGCGCCCAGCCTACAGAAGGAGGCAGCCTTTGACCACCCCCTCGGCCCGCCCCCAGGGTCAGCAGAACCCCTTCCAGGGGATGGCGATGGGTGGAATTGTTCCATGGTTCAGAGTAGGAACCTCAGGCCCGACGAAAGACAGAGGGGTCCGAGAGCCCCCCAGGTGCTGCGAAGTTTCAAAAAGGGGCAAGGAGGCATCGGCACCTGGAGGGACTAGTGGGGAGTCGCCAAGGAACACAAGGACGAGGCTGGACAGATGTGAGCGTGCAAATGAGTAGGACGGTGGGTTTACTGATCAGCCTCCCTTTCCCCCTCCCCCTCCTCATCTTCCTCCTCATCCTCCTCGTCTCTGGGCGGCGCAGAGGCTGCAGCCTCAGACTCCTCCTCCCCTGCAGGCTCCGCCAGCGGCTCCTCAGTCAGGAGGTCCCGTGCCAAGCGCTCCAGGTGCCCCAGGCTTATCCTCCGCAGCCGCTCCTCGTGCTCCTGCCTCAGCAGCTGCAGCACTGCCTTGGCGTCCTGGGGCCTGAAGTGTTTGGCCAGGACCTGGCGCAGCTGGTGCCACAGCGGCTGGGGCTGCAGGGCCTCCGCAGGCGCGGTCTTCTCCGGGGGCCGCATGATGACGTTGATGGAGGCATTGGGCCCGATGCAGTAGTCGGAGAGACGCTTGTCATCGGCCAGCAGCTGGCCACGGAAGAGCAGGTGCTGCTGCTCCTCCGGCACCTGCAGCCTCTCCGACACCAGCTTCTTCAGCGTGGCCACGCTCTCCTGCCCCGACACCTTCACGCTGCATCTCCGGCCCAGGAGGAGCTTGACTGTGAGGAACATCGGGCGAGGAGCAGGATCAGGAGGGACCCATGCTCCAGCGGCTGCCCTGAGGGTGGAGGGGCCAGCAGGAGGTGGCTGCTGCTCCCTGTCAATGGAGGGCGGTGGCCTCAGAAGGCCAAGAACCCGGCCCAGGAGGGCAGCCATTGGCTAATGCACAGCGATGTCACAATGCCACAGCAGAGCTCTCACTTCAGGGACGTTAGAGGAGCATTCGGGGCATAGTGTCCTTTCTCCGTGAGAAGGGAAAGGAGGAGAGAAGAGGGACAAAGGGGGTTCAGGAAAGGAAGTAGAGGACAGGGAGAAAGAAAGGCAGGATCAGGTACGGGAGGGCCCAAAGGACACAGGGCGGCGGAAGGGAACGCGGCCCCGTGGACTGGCTCAGCGCGTTGCGTCGCGTGTCTGCTCGGCCAGGGCCGGCCCTGCGGAGAGGTCCTATCACAGCAGACACTCCTGTCCTCAGGGGTTTTCTGCCTGTAAGCCTGCTGCCTAGCACTCAAGTGTTGTTCTTTCTGTCATGCGCTCTGCATGCTCTTTTGGACTTTTCCAGAAGCCGACCCTGCGACAGAGATTCCAGGGCATGGATTTCGTTGGGAGGTGACCCCAGGAAGCACCAGTAGGGGTTGTGGAAGTGAGCCCAGGAAGGGCGAACCCCCAAGCGTACTGATGAGCAGGTTGCCTTTGTGGGCACTGGGAGCCTTCAGTCCCGCTGGGCGCTCTGGGTGGCGGCAGGGGGCAAGGAGGCTGGGCCTGCAGGCACCAAGTCCTGCCTGTGGTTGGTGGGGTACTGGCTCCTCGGCCTGGGGTCGGCACATGTGCAGGACACGCTCCTGTGCCCAGGGGAAACCCTGGGGCAGAGGTATGCAGAGGCTGGCATTAGAGGCCATCAGGTCTTCCAGAACGCAGGCACCAAGGGGACACGGTGGGCTACCAACAGTGTCTGCTTCGTGTCCCTTGCTGTATTTAATCCTTGCAGACTCTGAGGCAGGTACAGTCACTACCTCCAGTTGCTAGCGAGACGATGGGGCTCAGCCAAACCATCAGGCAAGCAAGCAACACAGCGCTGGCCTCCCCCCGCCCCCTACCCCCTGACCCCCGGCCGCACGTTGCCCCCTGAAACAGCTGCTCAGTGTCCTTGGGGCGCCAGGCACTAAGCAGGCACCAGCAGTCCACAGTGAATGAGGGAAGGAACGCTGCTGGGGACTCTGCGTCAGCAACTTCTGCTGCATCGGCAGTTTTCAGTTCGACCTGTTGATGGTCTCCTGGGTCAGGTCCTCATATAGTCTGACACAGGTAAGTTTGTGAGGAGGATGTTTTTATCTCATTTTAGAAAGGAGTGAGCGTGGAGAAGACCTTGCGGATGTCCCACAGTGGCTGGGGCGATTTTGCCAGGGATCCCCTTGGCCAGCACCCACCTCTCCTCTCATCCCCCTTCCCCTCCTGCGTTCCTTCTTTCCCCTCCCTCTTGAACCACTCTTGAATGACCCTGTTGCCAACAACCTGGGACTTCCCAGATCTTGCCTGCCCACAGCACCCACCCTGACCCCTCCCTGCCCCCTGCCAGAGTTGTTCCAACCTCCATCCCTCCCTTCCGTCCCGGGCAGGCTCCTGGGATAGCGGGGGTGGGGGGGCGGGGGGGCGGGGGATGGCATTTAGGGGGGGAACACCAGGGACACCAGGAAGTCAGCTGGTCCTCCCCCTCCCCTGCCACAGAGCCTCACTCTAAGCGGGTGACCCAACGCCTAGTCCAGAGAACTATACTCTCTCCCGCCAGGAATTCCCTGACACCCTGCCCTTCCCCTCCCCTAACCGTGAGCTGCCCAACCCAGCCCCCCCTCTCACCTCCCTGCTCCCCTCTCCCCACCAGCAAGTCCTCTTCTAATTTCCGTTCTTCCTCCAAACGTCTCCAAAACCCACGATCCCAGACTGTGCCCTGTGGGTCAGCATCTACTAATCCCCTCCTCCGTCCAGCCCCACCCCCCCGGGGCCATTCCTACAACAGCAAAAGGGGCTTCCTAAGCCAACGGGAGGCCGAGTCACTCGTCCAAGAGCGCACCATCTACTCAAACCCTCTTCACTTTTGGAGTCTGAACCAGCTTCTCAGTCTGGCCTCCAAAGGCACCCTGGCCTGGCCCCGCTTCCCCAGCCTCCACTCCGGCCACACCCACCCGCCATTTCCTCTGCCTTCTTGTCCCATTTGAACTCTTCCAACTCATCCTGCAAAACGCCCGTTAAAAACTGCTTCCTCCAAGAAGCCTTCCTTGCTTTCCCCAGCCCCCTGTACCACCGTAGGTCCCCTTGCGCATCCCTGCACAAGTGGATGCACTCAGGGAATGGGTCTCAGCTGCCTTTGTATCCCCACCTCCAGCCCACAGAGCCTGGCCCACAGAGGGCCCCGAAAACATGCCTGTTGAGTGAAAAAGATTGAAATTTAGACATGCTGAGCCTTGCAGGAGAAGGCAGCTGTGGAAAGATACAGAGCTGCCTGCGTCTCGCCCTCACCAACCCCCCTCCTCCCCTAGAGATGAAAATCCAAAATTACATTAGAAATAAATCAAAGTGATCCCAGTCTTTACCAAAGGATCTTCTATAGCATTCTTTAAATAGCCAACTCCCTTGGTGCATGTGAAATGAGATAGAATTTGCAAATGTGCGTACAGTGTGTAGGGCCCTGAGACTCTGCAATGGCAGGAGCGGAGCGGGACGAGGTTTCCCTGCTTCCACCTGGGAGCTCCCAGCCTCTGGAGGAGAGGACGTGTGGCAGACAAACCTCGGGAGGGACATGTTGGGGACATGCCATGGGCGAACCCAGAGCAGAGCTAATCCAGGAAGGCTTCCCGGAGGAGGGAGTTTTGAGTAATCTGAAAGAGACAAAGGGAAGGCGAAATGGGAGTAACAGGAAGGAACAGGAGCCAGAGCTCTGGGTGTGGGGGGAGCTGAGACCCGGCCCCTCCTCCTCAGACTCATGGGCCCAGGACACTGGCGGCCCATGGGGACGATGCGTCAGGCCTGGGCTTCGAGAAGCACAACTCGGGTTCTGAATCTCCAGGCAGGTTGCCCCGTGACCGGGGCTGTGAGGGCCACAGCTGCTGAGTCTTACAAGTCAGGCGCCCCGGGCCGCAGAGCCCCAGTGTGCAAGTGGGCCAGGGGGACAGAAGCTCCAGCATGTGGGGGGCCCAGGGAAGCGGGGAGAGGTGGTCCCCGCCCAGCCCCTCCTCTGTGCCTGGAGCTCACATGCCCTCCCCAAGGGGGACAGTGGGGGCACCTCAGATCCTATTTGGAGCTCGAAATGTCATAATTTTCCCCATGTTACTATTGCTTGTCTTAATTATAGAATTAGCATGAGAAAACGTAATTGTGTAATCAGCCCACGCAATCAGGCGATGATTGCCGTAATTAGGGGGAAGATTAGCGGGAATGAGGGGCCTTTGTGACTTCAGGGAAGGCAACAAATGTCGCAGAGAGGACGCTGGGAGGTGTCGGGCTCCGACCCCCCACCCACAGCTGCACGTGCAATTGTGTCACAGAATCACATACAATGTCCGTGGGGAGAGGGAGCGGGGAGGGGAGGGTGCTTTGGGACAGGTCTGTGAACTCGCAGCTGCCGGCCACCCTTGGCTGTGTTCCTGGCGCTGACTGGACATCGGCGCACTGAGGGCACGAATTTCAGCGGATCAAAGCCGGGTGTCCAGCTGCCAGCCTGGGGCCCGCCTTGAGCAAGCCTGCTCCTCGAGCCTCACCGGCTGCCTCTGTCTAACGGGAGTGTGGCCACTGCCCAGTGCCCCCAGCAGGGCGACTATGAGGGCCAAAAGGAGCAGGTCACGGCCCCAGGACCCAGCAGAGCGTCTGACCCATAAAGACCTTCGGTGTGTACTTGTACAGACGTGTAAATGTGAGCTCTGTCACTCCCAGCTGTCCGGGGAGACCCGCGCGGGCCAAGGTGTGACGCCCCCAGGCCAGGGTGAGATCGGTGGGCCCAGGTCAGCAGGCAGAGCAGCCTGTGCAGCGCAGGCAGCCACAAGGAGGCGACGGGGAGCTTGGGTTTGGAGGAGTCTCCAACAGCTCCTTGGGGCTGCATGAAAGGCTCCTCCGAAAGATCCGTTACACCCCTTCCCACCTCCCTCCCCGAGCTGGCTACCAAGTTACTGCACTTTAATAACGACCACCGGCTGGTCTTCCACTGAAAGAGCAGTGGACGGGGTGGGGTGGGGAGAACAGGGAGGAGATGGGCCAGGAGATGCTTGACAGGGAATGAGTGCAGGGGGAGGAGAGCGGAGAGAGGGACAGGGCGGAAGCGGCGCACGGGACAGGGCAGGAAGGCCTAAAGGACACTCGTGCCAGGAAAGAAAAGACGGGGCGGTGGTGGAGGGAAGAAGGGGCAGAAAGGAATCATTCCTGGGGGAAAAAAAACAGTGCCACATCTCTGCAGGCCTCCGCTGAGAACAGTGTCCCTCGTCCCCCCTCTGATTGTTCGGAAATGGTTCATGGGAAAAAACTGGCAGAAAAAGTGGGGTCCAGGCAGCGGCTCTTCCATAGATGGGTTGCAAGCCAGACGTGTGGGTCCAGCACCCCGGCCTCTTCCACCCATGCCGAGCCCACCACTCACCAGCGCCTCCTGAGCACCCATGTCGCCCCGAGGCAGGGCGACGCCAGCAGGTCCCCAGACAGAGCCCATGGCCAGGGCTGCCCTCAGGCCTCCCACCTGTTTCTCAAGACCCCATTCAGCCTGTGCCGCCTCCGATAGCTGTCACGAGGGACCCCTGCCCCTTGGAGGGGGGTCTCAGGGCTGCCCTGGACCCTGTCAGACCTGGCCCAGGAGAGGACAGGCAGCCCCTCAGGCACCCCAACCCAGGCTGCCCTGCATGGTGCCTGGCACACAGTAGGTGCTCTGTAGACAAGTGAGGCCCGCTGCCTGCCACTCATCCACTGGCTGCACCGGCTCTCTCAGCCCTGCAGCCCCGAGACAACTGAGGCGCCACACGCAGGCTGGTGCAGCTCGGAAG